ATCCTCAACCATTCTGTGATTTTGCCATCTCAGAAACTCATTTGCTTCCACTGTTGGCAGTGGAAAAGTTGTTCAATTCTGTTGAACTAACAGAACTAATTCTGACTGTTGCGAGGATAGGTGTGGAAGAATAAAAAGTCAAGACAAATAAAAAAAATAGGAAAGAAAGAGATCTAATATAATGGAAATACAATTTCAAAGGTACATTCTAATAATAAAGACAATATAATACATCAGTGCTACTACGCTAGCATCTATTAACATCTAGCTAGTAAGAATCAGAAAGAAAAAAACAACAAAAAACCAGTATCTCTGCAGGCATACTATGTGCTAATGTTATAACTGAAACAAGAAAGCTGGTCATGGTGTAGCTGAAACAGATAGGGAGAATTCCATTTTGATCTGAAGAAGGTACAAAGGATAGGTGACTCTTCTGAGTAAGTCTAGGAGCTTTCTTTCAGAATATATATGATGCAATTGCAGAAAATAATCCATGGCAGACTGATGGAAGGTAAGAATAAACAGGAAGGATATTAATAGGCCAGCTAGGATAATAACAGAGTACTGTCATTTATCTTACTGCTAAATAGGATCCAGGACTGCATGCTGTTGGTGGTGGTTGTTTCACGGCTTTTATTTGACACATTATTTTCAATTAGCACTTGTTAATATGGAACAAAATTAGGTGTACAGATAATTAAGAATGGTCTGCATTAAAAGTGATCTGAAAGTAACTTCAAGGGAAAGAGTCCATCATGTTTGTGAGAGATAATCGTGTTATACCTGCATAGTATACACTGAGCACTTAACATCTTTGGAGATTTTCAAAAGTTTTGGTCCCTTTTTAACTTGCAAATATCAGCTGAAAAGTTAGCAAAGACAACTGCCTGACTTTCCATCACTCAGTAGGATAACGTATGATCAATCCTTGTCAACTGGAAATGGAAAACAAGTGTTGAGTTTGTACAATATATATATCCAATGTACATAGACTGCTCTAAATGTAATGCCTCCCATTTATTTCCATGGAAACTACAACAGAATCCAATCTCCATGCTAAAGCAGGTTCCCTACAGTAGGTTACACAACAAAGCATCCAGCCAGGCTTTGACTATTTCCAGAGGAGATTCCAGAACCTCTCTGGGTAGCCATTGCTTTGTTACCCTCAAATATTTTCTTCCTCATGTGGAACTCCCTAAATTCCAATTTGCACCCGTTGCCCCTTGTCCTATGCATCAAAGTGGCTGGGCTCCACTGAAAAAAGCCTGGCCTCATTCACTAGCTGCCTACCCTTTTAGTATTTATGAGCATTGTAAGATGCCCTCTCAGTCTTCTCCATGCTGAACAGCCCCAGGTTTCTCAGCCTTTTCTGATAAGGGAAATAATCCACGTCCTTCACCATCTTTGTAGTCTTCCACTGGACTCCTTAAAGTTCTTGTCTTTCTTGAACTGAGGAGCCTGGAATTGGACACAGTAGTTCAGATGTGGCCTCATCAGTGCACAGCAAAGAAGGATCACCTTCCTTGACCTGCTGGCCATGTTCTTTTTAATACACCCATTCCATGATTCTGTGAACAGTGTTAACGTTTACACAATACTTGGATTTCTCAACATGCTAATAGTTCTCTCTCTGAATTTCCAGATCCCACCAATCAAGCTAAAACATCAATTTTGGACACTATACTAAGAAATACAAATAAGAGAATGTGTTTCATTACTGTTATTATAGCTAAAATGATAAGACAAAAAGGGAAGAGTATGAAGATCTTTCAAGCATTAAGACTAGCAGGTTATAAAAAAAAATAGGTATTAGAGTTGGGTACACTGCTCTGTGCAATGATTTGCAGTTTGACCTTCATTACCTTCCTAATTATGACATTACTTCACAGCTGTTAAATGCTTCTCTTGAGAGTGACAAGCAGCTTGACACAAACAACCTTGTATGCGGACATGAAATAGTTTGAAGACCAAAAATTTGAGTAATACGTGCAGTTACTTTGTGGTACACTGCAGGTTCTGCATCCAATGACGCACCTTTGCTTCACACGCAGTTCCATGTCAGATACCACTGTCAAACAGTTCCTCTGCTGCCATCTGTCTCACAGCAACAAAACATAACAGAACGTTGGTGCAAAGGTTCAACTACGGGATAAAGAAGGTCGTTGTATTGCTAATGAGTGGTAAAGCTCAACAATAGCTTGAGGCGGATGTAAACACCCACAAGGCGCCTAGCCTTACATGTAAGCAGTCTTGGCTGAGCAGGAAAACTGTTGTGTATAAAAGGTTCTGAGCACCTACAATAAAGGTCTTTTGTTCTGGACCATGGAGGGAGTCTCGTTCGCAACACCCGCAAGGGAGCTTGATGCCCTCTTGCAACAACCAACCTCTACTGCCGTTAAAACCAACACCCAACTCTGATGGCCCAACATAATAAAATCGGAGGCATTACTTTCAGAGCAGCCCTCGTATTTTACCGTGACATGCATCTTGACCTTGTCTATAAGCTATGGGCTTTGGCATCTCTACAGAGAAATAAGTTAGCGATTTGAATCCTTTCATGAGACCTCTATGAATGAATTACCTGAATTGGCAAGTTATTCACCAAAACAGACTGCTTTTATTGTATTTATGAATGGATGGTATTATACTTTGCAGAGAACTCAGTGTCCATGATATATAATGCTGAGAACTCAAGTCAGAGAAAAAAAAAATTCAATAGTGAGATTATTTCCAAATGCTCAGATGAAAATATTTCAGCACATGCTTAGATGTCTAAGTTTAGACACTTCATAAGCACTGTGGCATACTTGCTGTATAGAGAACTTCCCTGACCCTGTTTAAGAGCTTTAACTGAAATAGAAGAAATAGGTTTTCTTGTTCCTGGAAAGTACTTCCCTCTGAGTTCAAGATTAATCTTCTATAGGGTTCATTTATAACCTAACAGAGAACCTTTCTGTACAGTGCTTGGATACTGAGTAGCATACTTCCCATTGCAAAAAGTGCAGTTTTTAATCTGACACCACAGCATGACACATATAAGATAATAAGCAATAATCTGGAAGCATGGGTTCTGATGAGACCTCATTGCCGCTTTCTAATACTTAAAAGGAGCTTATAATCAGGAGGAAGAAGGACTTTTCATACTGTCTGATATTGACAGGACAAGTGGAAATAGTTTTAAACTAAGAGGGGAGAATTGGACTAGATCTTAGGGGGAAATAAGGCACTGTAACAGGTTGCCCAGGGAAACTACATGCTCCATTACGGGAGGCACTCAAGGCCAGGCTGGATGGGGCCCTGGGCAGCCTGGGTGGGTGCCAACCCTGTCCAAGGCAGGAAAGTTGGAACAAGATGATTTTTAAGGTCTCTTCCAACCCAAGACATTCTATGATTCTCTAAATTAGGAGTTCACCAATAATTTTAGCCTGTAGTATTTATAACAGAACTTCACTAAGGCACATCTTGTTTGCTGGATCACTTTTGGAGTATTAATCAACGTATTCACATAGTTTGGCACAAGAACTTAAATTCCAGGCAACCATAAGACTAAAGCTTTGTACTAGCTAACCCTATCTCCTTGCAATGTAAGGAAAAAAGCAAGCTGTTCCTGTTCCATTTTAACAGGTTTTCCTAAAAATACAGAGTAGGAAGCTAGACTGCATTGCTGATAAGACTAGGCTGTCTAACACAAAGAACCTCACCTTCATTGCCAGTTCCTGATAAAGTCAGTTTAAATTCTGCCCTACCTCCCATCTTCAGTGCTCATTTTGAGAACGATGGGAAAAAAAAAAAAGAAAAATAAGAGCCCACTTCTCACTATATTCACATCCGAGGGCCAAAAAAAACCAACATTCAGTCAGAACAATTTTTAGTTCTGATTTTTAAAATGCAGTGTAATTATGGTCTGAAGCAACAAAGCAAGGATACAGAACAAAACAAGGACTGACTCCAGAAACTCAGCAGTGAGAATGGTACGAGGCAGCAGAATATTTATTGTAAGATGCCTATCAAATATGTAGCTCAGTAAACATGGCCACAAGGGCACACTGCTGGCTCATGGCCAACCTGTTTTCCATCAGGATCCTCAGGTCCTTCTCCTCGAGCTCCTCTACAGCAGGTCATCACCTAACCTGTACTGATGCATGCAGTTATTGGTCCCAGGTGCAAGACTCTACACTTGCTCTTGTCAAACCTCATCAAGTTCCCCCCTACCCAAACCTCCAGCCTGTCTAGGTCTCGCTGCATGCAGGACCTTTGTACTTCCACTTAACTGAGGGTACTGTTGATGGTTTCTAGACTGTAACTTCTTCACTGTCAAGCCTATGCTATGTTCTTTTTATCAGTGCTCTATACTACCTCTTCATGCTCCCAGTATCTACCACTCCAGACTTCCATCCAAACTTTAAATGCTGCAGCAGGCTGGTCCTTGCTTTACTTACAGCTTTGATGGTCCTGCAATAATTTTAGCTCTGATACTTGCCTCTAAGCCTAGGGACAATGTGGGAATGCATTTTATGCTATACTTATTAGCTTTATTTCCAAAATGGCAAAAGAGACAACAAGATAAATTGGTTGTTATATGCCTGCTCTAAAAAAGACAAGAAACTATTATCTGCAGGAGTAAATGGTAGTGGAAATGAAGATTTCATCACTTCCAGAGATCACTCATGTAACAACTCTGAAATACTAAGTCCAAGTATTAGCCAAGCTTACTTCTCATCCCTTTATAGTTTTATACACTTACTGCTAGTTATCTGGAGGAAAGACTTGTCCACCTGCCTTCGGAAAGCTGTTTTGACATTACTTTCCTCTAAGAATTACATTTCCCCCTAAAAATCTGCATTCCAGCACAACTTGAAAAGGTGTCCAAGTTCTGAACAGAAATGCGGTGCTTATTAGGTTCTGTATTTTTTTTTTTTTTTAACCTTTTCCACTGTCCAAATGAAAAGTAGACATAATCACACAGCAAGGTAGTGACTTTTTAAAAATTTTAAGGCACATTCCAACAAAATAATTTTTTTATTGAATGCAGTAGTAGGCATTCTATTTCAAGGGAACAATGTTTTCCCCCACCTTAAAGAGATCTTCCCTTTCACAATTTCTAAATGCTGTATTTCAGTTACAGAAATATTTCTCATGTCAAAAAAGAAGACTCAGTTTAGATTTTTTTCTTGAATTATGAAGTGCAACTAAGTCCTTCCAAAAGAAGATGATAATTACCAATAGGCAGTAGAATGAGAAATCTTCAATCTTACTATCGTTGGGTGCAATTTATGTTAATTCAAATTTTATACTTACCCATCTAGACAGTTGTTCTTAAAGAACTATATAAAAAGTGGCATTTAAGAATAAAGAAATGCAGCTTAAAGAGCAGTTTATCACCATTTAAAAAAAAAATCTTAATGTTAGCCTGCATGTTTAATACCATTCCCACAGTATGTCAGCTAGCACAGGCTTAGTCCAATAATTTAGAACTTGAGAATAGGAATGTCTTTTGGTTCTGAATGCAGATCATAAGTCCTCATGTTCTGTATGTGACGGCTCAGTTGTTTCAGTCTCCACTTCCTCTCCTGTGAAATTAAGTATCATTAGAACACAAAAATCAATATGTATTATTAATGTATTATTAACTACATCATAGCTTTTTAAATGATAAATCTTTAAAAGGGAAACTCCAAATAAACGTACTTTACAAGACCAAACAAGGTACAAAGTCATATAGAAGGGCTACTTGCACCAGCAAGTCCAAGCTCATGAAATTTGTACCAGATACAAACAAGAGATTCAAATATACTGGTTTCACAGTGGTAGTGAAAGATAAAGCAGCACAACTATTTCCATTTCAAGCTTTTGTTTTCAGCTATTCACAAGGAATTTTCTCCTTTCCACGTGACCTCCCATACGACATTCAGATATTTGAACCTAAAAAGCAAGAATTACTCAGAACTACGTTCTATACTGCAGACTGCCCAGTTCAGATGTTAAAGCAGCCCTCAAAAAGCAGAGCTGTTTTATCGTGTTGATAATAGAACCACTTAAAGAAAATGTTAGGTCACTCTGTAAACTGTTCATTTTGCTTTTACATTCATACAAGCGTCAGGCCACGTTAAAATCATAGCTAAGCAGCTTTTGTGCGTGCAAATACTCAGGAGATCAGTGACCATGCATTTGTGTTTTTTTTTGTTTGTTTTTAAAAAAGGACTAATAAGAACACTAAGTGCTGAGTGTAGTTAACTGAAAGACCCTAATGAGCAATACTGAATAGTACTGCACAGATCTTTACAACTTCATTGATGCAAGATTCACCAGTTCTGGTTCTTGTGTGTTCTCCATACAATCAGACAAACCTCCAAGTCATAATTAACAACGAAGAAAAAAGCAATGAGGAACCAATGTTCCTTCTGAGATAGCAGTGATCTGCTAGTTCACATTAATGAAACCTAGTGACTTACAAACATAACCTTGGTTTAAACACAAAATACAACACAGAAACTTGACACTTAGAAAACACTCCTTTTTGAGCAAGACAACATGCATGGCAGAATACAAGGCCAACTGCAACAACCTGAGACAGACTAGAGCTTTAGAAAGATAATAAGTTATACATAATAATTTTCAAGTGCCAAGATCCTTAGACAGAAACACATCTCTATCTATATATTTAAAACATATATTTAATATATATATATTTAACAATCTGTCATTAAAAAGTTACTTGCCTGTTTTTACAGTTTGAACACATGTTCCATCCTTATCTTCAAACCCTTCTGAACATACACACTTGTAACTACCTGGAGTATTAACACAGTCTTCATTCTCCTTTGTGCACACCTTTTCTGAAAGGTTACATTCATCTATATCTAGAGACAGGATAGAGGAAAATAAATTTAAAAAAAAAAAAAAAAAAAAAGTCCATTGCTATGGTTTTATTATATAACTTAATTATGCTCAAAATTCCATCTCAGGCCACCTCCAACATAACAATTAATTGCTTACTAAAAACACTGAAGAGCAGAATGCTGCTGCAACAGATTTGACTTGTGCTAAAATAAGCTGTTACAGTTTGCCATATTTAAGATTGTTTCAAACTTATTCAAACTCATTTTATGTTCTGCAGGTCCTGCATCAAGAAATTAATTAGACAGCATTCATCTTAACCTACTGCAGACTTCCCACTGTCACTTTCTGTCCATGCCACCAAGGTGCAACAAAAAGGAAGGGATCTTGTAAACACTTCATTGTCACAGATAAAAGCTATTTAAGATTGTGTACCCTATTCTCTCCCACACTGAGAAGCTCTGATTTCGCTCTTACTTCAAGTGTGACAATCACTGCAAATTATTATCACTGGAATTTGGACATTAATGCATCCAAAAGACAGACTGTACTGCATACTCTCTTTTCTGTTAAATAAATGACTACAAACACACACTTCTAGTGCACTGATACATAACTGACAGTATTTGCATATTTGTTTCTGGAATCAGCTATAAAAGAATTTCATCTTTTTGTTGGAGTATTTCAGCTTTAAACTTTATCAAGCATATTAGCTTAACAAAATAAAAAAAATATTACAGATACTATACATTATGTAATATCATAGCAACTGGGATTATTCTGATAGGTTTGAAAACTAAGTCAGACTGAAGCGAAAGCGCTTTGACAGCTCCCTAATGTGACTAACAGTGAGCTGACTGGCACTCAGTCATACCCTGTTAAATTCACCAACCTGTACACTTCTCATCTTCCTTCGCGTATCCTGATGCGCAGGTCTTACACTTGTCAGAACCTTCTCCTGTGCAACCTACACAGCTGGCATCACATGCTAAAGAAAATAGTTTAAGCATAAAAATGTATATACTTTAGTTTTAAAATGCACTCTCTTTGAAAGTCAGCCAGCTTATCCACGCTTAAGATAAAACACTTAAATACAAAAACTCAACTATCTCAGTCTTAAAATAACACCCTTGAAATCAGTCAGATTCCTCAGACAAAAAAGAGCCAGAAATGCCTCACCTTACTCACATGATAGGTCTAAAGCCTCATCCTCCCTAAGCCCAGAGAGAATCGTACCACATGATACTACATGCCTTCTCTAGCATTCCATTAAGAGTCTAGACAATATACTACAAAAGCAGATTAAAAAGAAACCTTTGCATGAGAAAGATCCGTCTGTGTTCAAACAATACTGCTCATCTTTGCAAGGAGAAGAGGCACATTCATCTAAATCTGAAATATAAAAAGCAACAAGTTACCCGAAATAGCAGTCATGATTAAATAGACAGATAATTTAGTTACTGTTTTCTTCAGCATAAGCTTATACTAACAAATGAAAACTGTGATCTGCAGAAGCTGTTATATGATGACAACAACAGACATATTAGAAATTCAAGAGATGGAGTTAAATAAAGCTTCCAGGATACCTGCCATCCTTGCCATTTTCAAGTCAGTGTTATGCTATTTGCATAAAAAGCGTAAATGCAGGCAAAACAAACAGAAGACTACTCTTCTGAAATACTTTGATTCCTCTACTATGGAACTTTTAGAAGCACTTACCAAAAAAAAAAAAAAAAAAGACAGCAAATTTATACAACTAAATAGTTTCATACAACTAATAGGTTCATACAACCCATAGTTTTCCACAAAAAGGAAACTGGAAAAAAAAAAAAAAAAAAAAAAAACCCCAAAGTTATGGTCCAAACCATAGCCAAGTTTCACTCAGAAAGTTAAAATATTTTGGCCTTGAAAATTCAAGGAAAGAGCACAATAGTATTCATTATCAAAAAAATTTGGACTAAAAAAGGCTATTTCAGCCATAGTTGCTGCCAACATCATTCCTACTAATTCATTAATTAGCTTGTACTTTATCAGCTGCAATGTGGAAAAAAACAGCTGTACAGAAGACAATACCAGAGCACCTTAAAACCTCTTCCTGTGTCGAGGCAGGTGTTGCAGCAGCAGTAATTCAAATCTTAATTCCCATTAACGGTTTTCAAAAGAATCCATATTCACATAACTTCTAAGGTACTGCTTCCAGACACCACTGTAAATGTCTTCTGCTAGTTTGATTCGATCAGTTTGCTATGGCATATTTCATATACTCATGACTTTTACATAATTTGAGTGGAATATGTTACTCTCACATTAGTGTAGTCCTGCAGTTTTTCCTTAAGCGTTCCATATATATCTCCCAAGACAGAAATACTGAGCTAGAAACCAGTGACCAGTGGGGAAGTAATACTACTTTGCTCCCGCATGAAACAAGTTTGGAAATGAGAAACTACAACTGTAGGAACCTAAACCAATTGATTTCATAGAACACGCTCAAAAAATACTATAAAACTTAGTGCAATCTATTTTTATCATCCAATGTTGCTGTAAAACCTGCTTTAAGTGTAGTAAGCATTACTCACCCACACAAGCTGCTTCTTCATTTTTGATCCAGCCTTCTTTACAGTCTTGGCAGTCCTTGTTACTTGAACCAGTACAAGTTTTACAAGCAGTGTGGCAGGCTGAGATGACAGAAAACCACAATGTGAGCTATGCTGAGAGTTTCCAACATGAGTTAATGCTCACACATTTTCAAAGAAAAACTTATTTAGGATTTACTAGAAAAAAAATCCTATTTTAGTAGGCTGAGCCTTGTATTCACAAGATTAAAAGTTTTATTTTGTGGAGATATCATTTACAAAAGTGCAGCTCTGTCCTACCAAAAGTACAGGAAGCCACTCTTCAGAAAACAATACACCATAAATCCAGCTGACTGACTGTAAGTTATATCGTAATATAAAACAAATTAAGTGGAAGAATTACTAGACAGATGAAAAAATAATAGAAAAAAAATATTAAATCTCACTATCGGGATTTAGTTGATATAGAATCTTATTCAAAACATAAAAATAGCTGAAAAAAAGTAACATATTATTTGTACAGCCTGATGGACTGTTTTATAATTGAACTTAGACATATTTAATTGGAATCAACATATTCTGTAGTACAGATATGCTATTTCCATGCCTGTTTACTCCAGCTATGTGTATTTGAGACAGGAGGTGAAACCAGCCTTTAAAATAGTTCATTCCACTGCCACTTCAGTTGAAGATTTTTGTACAGTACCTTAAGGGATTAAAGAAAAAGTACAGAACTGACTCTTGCCTCTCTCTTCTCTCACAATAGAAATGAATTCTGCTTTCCAAACCAAAACCAAAACAAACAAAAACAAACAAACAAAAAAAAACATACAGGGGAAAAATTGAAATCAGTCTATGAAATTGACCTACAAAGTTTTCAGAATTCCGTAAAAATCAACGGAAGACCTCCATGGTTAAAGCTAAGTAATCAAAAACTATTTTCCTACAACTATTTTAAGTCATTACACTTATCTGTTTAAATTGTTTCTACCTTGCTTGCAAAAAAAAAAAAAAAAAAAAAAAAGTAGATGGAAGACAAAGATCTTTGCAGATGGCCAAGATTTTGTTACCTGTACAAACTGAATGTGTGTCATTTCTCAAGCTACTGTAGTAACCATTAGAACAGTCCAAACAAAATTCTCCTGTGTATTCCTTGTTGCAGCTGCATGTGCCATCTCCACCTCGGGTACCATCACCATCACAGTGGCCATTTCCATGACAAGGTCTTTCTGATCCACCACGACAAGCTCAAAAGGATCAAAATATTTTTGAAATCAGATGTAGAAGGAAATAACTTCCTATCTTAGCCACAGTCTCCCTCAGTGCCTCCCTCTGCATAGACAGTACAACATAAAAATATACACCTATAACAGTATGCAATTTCCAAATCTTATTCCCTTAAGAGCAACCAAAATACTAAGATATCTGAGTATATGGAGGAATTCAAAACAGTCTCCAGGGAAATTCAGCTATACATTTCATGACTTAGAATGTTATCTATTTTTCTAGCTTGCAGGATAAAGTTGGTGTCTTCATTTATTCCAGATATCTAAGAATGTTCAGACTGCAGTTGGAAGAAATGATCTCTTAGATCAATACCAGGAATTAGCACTACTTTATTAGCAATTGCCAAAGATGAGGCCAAAGCTGACCTCCAACAACATGGAAAGTTTTACAGATTTATAAACCATACAGTGGCCAAAACACTTTCTTTCTCTTGTATCATAGACCTCGCTTTGATCCAATCATGTTCCCACCTATTTCTGCCACTCCCTTTTCAACTTATCCTTATTTATGATTTTTTTTCATTTAATCCCCAGTACTGTCTCGGCTGATTTGTCCTGAACTCAGTCGAGTTCTCTACAAACCTTCTGAAATGGTACCTAAACAACAGACTTACTACTCAGCAGCTGCTACTCAGCAGCCAAATGTCATACTTCATATGTCCATATTATTAAATGGAGAAATGAAACAAGTGAAAAAGAAAACATCTGTGACTATATGCTTCAAAAGAAAAATTACCAAGGCAATCTGGTCCATAAGTTCCAGGTGGGCAACAAACTTCTAATGTCTCTATGCAAAACCACTTAAACAAATCAGGATATTTCTTCTTTCTGTATATGAAAGACAATCATTTATCAATAAAAAGAACAAAGATTTTTAACAGTTAACTCACACAAATGAACATCCACACTGTCAACCACAATCTATTGCACGTGACACAAGATAGACTTCTCTGCTGAAATGACAACTACCTTACTTCAGGAATCAATTCCTAGAAGTCTTCCAACTTCAGGCATTGCTAAAAAAAAAAATAACTTTCTAAACTGCAATACTATTAGCTAATTCCACACAATGTTTTTATTTACAAAAAAGTGGAATAAGAGTGATCAACAAAATGACTTGAGTGTAGTTTTGATATCCCCTTCCACTTACTTATTTTTTCAGGAAAAGTTTACATAAAATTCAGACAGTCACATTGAAATACTTCTCTTAAAGACAGCTATTGTATTTACCTCAGCAAGAAGAGAACCCCAAGCAGATATTAACATTTGCTCAAATTACTGTGAACCTGACTTCTTGGTAAGATGCACATTAAAATTCCTTGTCTTTTTTGCCATGAATCAAGGAATGTTTCAGAAGGATTTTCTTTGTATTAAGAAGTAATAGTTATGTGTTACTTCAGCAGTAGAATATACCGTCAATAAACGATATAAACACTAAGTATTATTTTACAAGCAGGCACAACAGTTGCTACACTTACACTTATGACTCTCAACACTACAGGGCTTAAAAGTGACCTCTGGAGACCACCTAGACCAACTCGTCTGCTAAAGTACGATCTCTACAGTTTAGGTTGCAAAGGAAAGTATCCAGACTGGTCTTGAATATCCCTACAGAAGACGACTCTTCAACCTCCCTGGGCAGAAGTTTTTTCTTATGTTCAACTTCCTGTGCCCGCTGTCCTTTGTCCTGCCACCGAGTATCACCAAAAAAGAACTTGGCCCCATGCACTGATACCTGGCCTTCAATATTTATACATACTGATAAGATCCCCTCTCAGTCTTCTCTTCTCCAGGCCCCTCATTATCTTTGTGGCCCTCCTCTCTCCAGTAGTTCCCTGTCTTTCCTGAACTGTGGAGCCCAAAACTGGACACAGTACTCCAGATGTGGCCTCACCAGGGCAGAGTAGAGGGGGACGATCACTTTCATTGACCTACTGGCTATACTCTTTTGAATGCACCCCAGGATATCATTGGCCTTCTTGGCCACAAGGGCACAACACAGGCTCATGGTCAACCTGTTGTCCACCAGGACACCTGGGTCCTTCTGTTCAGAGCTCCTTTCCAGCAGATAAGCCCCTAACCTTTCAGATGCACATGGTTATTCCTCCTATGTGGAGAATTCTACACTTGCCCTTGTTGAAACTCATCAGGTTTCTCTCCACCCAACTCTCCAGTCCATTCAGGTCTCACTGTATGGCAGCACATCCCTCTGGTGTGTCAGTCACTTCTCCCAGCTTGGGATCATCAGCAAATTTGCTGAGGGTGCACTCCATCCCTTCACCCATCAGGTCACTGATGAAGATGTTGAAAGAGACCAGACACAGTATCAACCCCTGTGTAACACTACCAGTTACAGTCCTCCAACAAGCCTCTGTGCTGCTGATCACAACCATTTGAGCTCTCCTAGTCAGTTCTCAACCCACCATAAATGAAAACTGAAAGGTCTCAGTATCATGCAGATACAGAAGTTTCAAAAACCATAATTAATGAAAGCCCTACAAAATGCCTAGAAATTCTGCAGTCTGCCAGGAAATAAGCCTTCAGCTACTCCTGAGGCACATACAGCTTTTATAAACTATTACATCTGATCGTATCTACTCCAAGGCAGAGACCCTGAAAAGCTTTCCTCCAGTTTGCATGTTTAAAGTCTACTCAGTCCTGCACAGTACAAGTATGAAGCAATAAAAGAATCATTGAGAACAAAAAGGATTATCAGAAATTCTTATCCAGTGATAAAGTGGTGTAACAGTAGTTCACCCTATTGAATTTCACTTGATCTGACCCAGTTTGTCTGCAAATGGGAAATTGAAGTAGATGAGCTAACTGAATTGCCCAGCTGGTTAATCCACACAGGGTGATCCCTTCCACAATTCATTTGGTATCACTTCCTGACATATATGTATTCCTATACTAAATGGAAGGATAAAAACAACCTGGGGACTGGAAAAATCTTGTTCTAGCATCTTGTGAACTCAAGGTAATAAAAACAACACTAACTTAATGAACTAATAATCACTGAATAGAGGAATGAATATGAATTGTTAAGCAAAAAAACAAAAATCCTATGAAATTTTCTTTTCATCCAAATTGTAATTAGATGCTTTCTCCTCCCCTTGCTGTTGTACAGCAAAACCCTACTTCCATTCAGAGGTGGCTGCAATTAGTAGCCCTGAATAAATTTTATTTGGAACATATAGTTCAGTGTCACTTCATGATAGCTCTCGGAATTTCCATAGCTAACTACTGTCAGGAGAAACAAGTGGACTTACACACTTTCCATCTCTGTGCTACAACTAACAAACTCCTACTAATTAGGTACAAAATACAGCATTACTATTTTGTCCTCGTTTATCAGCACAAAGATCTGTACTCAAAAAAAAGATACTTACAGTTTGAACCACCATTTCTCTATATGTTCTTCATGCTCTTCTACCATGTTGTTACATTCAAAGTTACTACTGTCACAGAGATTCTCAGTGATCTCTACAAGACGAATTTCACTACAAGAAGAGAAGGAAAGTCATAAGTTTAATCTACTGTTTAATTTCAGTTTAATTCAGCACCACTCAAAACACAGAAGCTACACTGCAACCTAGAATATTTTATCAGTTGAAGGTGTGTTCTGAACTAGCTCAAAGCCACAGTAAATATTAGAATAAAGACCTAATTCACTTACTGTGACTACGAAGATTGCATTTGTTATGTTTGCAGACTGCACGTTTACCAGATTTTTCTACCAAATTCAACAGTAATTTTCACATATTGCTAATATCTGACACAAGCTTACAAAGTTTAGACAATCTATCCTTGCACATCAGTGTTCCAATTAAGATTAAAAACTCAGTTTGAAATTCAGTTTGTGCGATCAAGCACATACACAAAGCAGTGCAGTAACCTGTCACTCTTCCAGTTTGCCACTTGGTACTGAAATAGCAACCAGTGAATTCTAGGGAGCAGTTATTGCTCTAACTGTAAAACAAGACTGGCACTACACCAAGATAAAGTCCACGCCATTTAGGACAATCAATTAACTACTAACCATTATTTAAAACTATTGTTTTGGTAAACAAAAAAAAACAAAACAAAACAAAAAAAACAATGCCATGACCAAAAACAGTATTATCTTTTCTGTTTTTCAAAAAAAATAAAAGTAAGCACTGTCAGTCACTTACAAATAAGGGATGTCAGTCTTTATGGTGAAGTGCAGACATGCTGCTGTAACCTATTGTATTTCAGCCAGTATGGATTCATGATTTGGACACATGAGACTTTCGTTCTGATATTTAAGCATCAGATTAGCACTCACACTCAGGGATAGAAAACCCAACCAGAAGAGTTTCAAGGCACTCACCTGGACTCGTACTTCGACAGCGTCTTCTCCTCCCAAGCAGTGTTTCCACCACCAAAATTCTTCTTTGCTGTATCTGCTAACCCCTGGCAAATTAACAGAATATGAGCAGCAGCCTCCATTTCCAACAAAAGTTTAGGGCAGCAGTAACTGCTTACATGTCACAGATACTTCAGCAAAGCTCTAAAGCTGCTGATCAAATCGATAAGCACAAAAACGACAAGCAACAACAAATGAAAGAGCAGAGGCGATGGTTCCCACCCACCCATCAGATCCTACGGACACACCGGCATTACAGCACCGGCTGAGCTCCGGCAGCGGAGCCCGAGCCCGGCCAGGCCCCGACCTGGCGCCTACAACGGCTCCTGAGCGCGGAAAGAGCCGCTGCCGCGCGGCAATGCAATCGCCGCGGGGGCTGACGAGGAGCTCCGCGGCGGTCCGGCCTGCACCCCGCAGCCCCGCCGCCCACCTGGTTGAACCTGTCCACGATGCCCCGGCAGGTGGTGCACGCCAGACGCCGCCGCTCGCCGGCGCCCATAGCAGGAGGAGGCGGCAGCAGCAGCAGCAGGAGGAGCAGTGCGGCGTACAGCGCGGGCAATGGCGAGCGAGGCGCGAGGCCGGGCCCCATGGCGAGCACAGCGCAAAAGGATGAGGATAAGGCGCGAGGCGGCCCGGCCGCGCTCCCAGCCCGCCGCAGCGCGGCCCCGCAGCGTCGCCTCGCCCCGCCCCGGCCCCCGTAGCAACCAGAGAGACACCGGCCCGCGAGCCCCATTCAGATTTCCGCGTCAGCCCCACGCACGCTCCGGCTCCCAGCGGCCATTGGTAGAGTCGGAGGGAGAGGAGGAACGTGGTCCAATCAGCGGCCGCCACGCTCTGGGCCAATCGGAGCCCCCCGCGTGCACAGATTTGCCGGGCGGGGCGGGACGGAGAGCTGCGGTGACAGTAACTCCAGGCTCCGCCGCCATCGTGAGTGCGGGCAGTCGTGCTCGGCTCGGAGCCGGCCGCCATTTCTACTGACGGCTGTCTCGGAGCTTAGGGTGGCTGGCGGCGAGCTCTGCCCTCACCTAACATGGCCGGCGAGGAGGCGGTCACGTGAGCTCGGCGCTATTCTCCTCACTCCTCCCGCCGGCGCCCTCTGGGGGGCGGCCACGTGGAGAGCCGGCGGGTGAGCGCGGGGCGGGACGGGACAAAGCGCGACAGGGCGCGGTGCCGGGGGTAGAGGTGAGACAGGGGCGCGGTGGCGGCTCTTTGAGGGACGAGGCGGGAGGCAACGGGGGCAGAGAGGCCGCGGGCGGGCGGGCGGGGAGCTGCTGCCGCCCGGCGTCCCCGAGAGATCCCGCCCCTGCAGCCATCAGCCCTTCGGTGCGGAGCGCCGGCCGGGCAGGAGCTGGCGCTGTGCGGCTGAGAGCACCGCCAGGGATGGCCGTTCTGTGCGAGCGTTGTCGCTAGCGCAGCCGTTACGCCCGGGTTCTATTTCCCCTCGGCTCTTTCTGGCTCCCGTCGCGTAGCGCTGCCGTGGCCTGGCGGGGGGTGGGGGACGGGGAGGAGCGGCCTTGCGGGTGCGCTCCCTGGGGTCGCGACACCCCGCGGGTTGGGGTCACCCCGCTCCGTCGGGCTCGACGCCACGACAGGAGGCTGCTCGCCTCTGCGGCGATGGCTCTTTATTCCGAAAATAGCTCTGTAGCAATCAGGGAAGTCAGCGCGTACGTCAGTATACAGGCCAGTGCGCTCCTAAATGCTGGCCCTATAACCTGGCGTTAAGCCGTTGTGATTCCTCAATTCCTAACCTATGGAAATGCGGTGTTACCTTATCTCTTACGATACCCTGCGGGGTACAGCACGTAAGATGCGGTCACGTACTTGATTCATTTGGCAGTGATTCTATAGCTGACGCTGGGAGCAAGGAGGAGTGTCGGGAGGAGCGGAGTGGCTGAGGGTCCCCGACCCGTGCTCGGCTGGCGGCGCTGCCCAGGTAGGTGGCGGCCCGGCGTGAAACGACCGCCAGAGGGCGCTGTGCCCGCGCGGAGCGGAGTCCATTGGTCCTTAAGGGCCTGTTGACCAGCCCAGGTTGGCGGCGTGTGTGTAAGGAGAGGATTGGTTTGGTCGGGAGCGTCCCGTGTATCTCGTCTGTAAGTGTGTTGTATGGAAGGGAGAAAGTGCTTTTTCACTCTCCAGTAGGCGTATTCTACGTAGCTTTATAGTTCCTTCGTAGCTGGTACTGTCCCAGGCTTTGTTTCCTGGCTCAGATTTCTATTTCCTGTTGCTTTTTTTTTCTACTTTCATAACTTCCCAAGCTAATGAGCAGGGATACAGCTTAAAATAGCAACTATCACATTCATTTTTATAAATGTTGATGGGTTAAAAAACAAACAAACAAACACCTTCAGTGCTTAAATCTGACCTCAGAGGTTATCTCTAGAATGGAGTTGGACAAGCTATTGAAGCGTACCAAAGATAGTAGCCAACAAGGGAGGATGCTAGTTGGCGTGCTCTTGATGGCTCTGCTTGAATGCTTCCAGACAGTGTGTGAAGGGGTGAAATGCCATCTCTGGAGAAATTTGGGCACAATCTGATGCATTGCTGCAGGCTTGAGGGCAGAGTGGCTGGCAAGCTGCAGCAGAGAAATGGGTCTAGGGATGTTGTTGACAGCTGGCTGCATGTCTGCCACCAGCATGCCCAGGTGACTAAGAAGGCCAATGGCATCCTAGTATGCTTCAAAAATAGTGCAGTCAGCAGGAGCAGGGAGGTGGTCATCCTTTTATACTCAGTGCTGGGTGAGACTGCACCTTGACTGCTGTGTTCAATTTGGGTTGCTCACTGAGAAAGATACTGAGGCCCTGGAGTGTGCCAAAGAAGGGCAACAAAGCTGTGAATGGTCTGGAGAACAAGTCTTACAGGGAACAGCAGGGAGAACTGGGATTGTTGAGGCTGGCCAAGAGGAGGCTTAGAAGAGACTTTATTGCTCTCCTGTCCTACTTGAAAGGAGATCCTAGCAAGGTGGCAGTCAGCCTCTTCTGCGTAGTGATAGAATGAGAGTCAGTGGCCCGAAGTTGTGCTAGGGGAGGTTTAGGTTAGATATTAGGAAAAAATTCTTATAGTGGTGAAGCATTGGAGCAGGCTGCCTATAGAAGTGGTTGAGTGGTCTCTAGAGGTGTTCAAGAAACATGTAGATGTGGTACTTGGGGACACGGTTTAGTGGGCATGGTGATAATGGCTTGATTGTTGGATTAGTTGATCTTAATGGTCTGTTATAACCTTAGTGATTGTGTGATTCAGTGTGTGGATTGGCTGCAAAACTCTTCATGTATTTATCCTGAAGAGTGTCTAAAAAGCATAGCTGAGCCAAGTAGGGAAGACTGGAAAGTGAATTCTTGAAACTTCTCATGCTTCCACAAAAGAAATATTAAGAAAAGAATAAGCTACTTTTGAAAGAACTGTTTGAGACATTTGTTTCTTTCAGATGGTTTTTTTTAAACATTATTTTCACCCCATTGAATTCCAGGAAGGGATGAACTCCTGTTGAGAATCTCTCTGAGGTTCAATTTCTGTGAGGGAGTAAACGTTGTTATGTCATCTGGCTCTGAAGATTCTTCAAAAGTTGCTAGAATGTTGATGATGAATAAGACTGTATTTGATTAGTATATTACTCTAACCTTTATTATTAAAAGGTAGTGGGTTTTTTTAATTGAAACCTGTTTTTGGCAGTTAAAAAAAAAAAATGTAAATTGCATGTATTCTTGCTTTTATATAGCCAATTCATTTTAAGAATCAAATTCAGTGCCTCCCTGCCTACTTGTGATAAACGGCACTTGAATTTTGAGGCTTGTCAACATCAATTTTCAACAGAGTAGGTTATCTTGAAACTTGACAAGATCACTAAATTTATTAAACTTGATCTCAGAAGACTAGGTGTTGTCTTCATGCTTTGTTTTTAATCTCCTAGCTTGTTTCCCTTCAGGGAATTTCAGGACATATAATGCATACATTTATCTTCAAAATCTCAGTGCTCTGGCAAAAGCTTCCTTTCTTCAGGCATGCACTAGGATTGGAGTCTACAAGATCTTAGAAAAGAACGAAAAAAAAAAAGCTTTGTGATTAAACTGTATATGGGATATGCAACTTCAGTGTCACTCACTGATAAAGCTGTTTGGCTCTTGAGTCCTTTTCCAAGGATTCATTGACTCCTGTAATAGCTGAAGTTTGGATGAAGGAATTTCAGCTTGCTGCTGGGATACGTGTCAAATACAAGTTGTTCAAACATTTGTGCTGCTATATGGCCTGATTCTTCAGCGTCCATTTTTCTGTGGGTAGATTTTTCAGAAATGTCAGGTATCTCTGTATTTAATGGAAGAATTCAGCAAGGGAGCTTTCTAGAGGCAAGAGTTTATACAAGGTAGACTGCACTGTACAGATACTTAATTCCTATCCAGCACTTCTTGAAGTGGTAGTCCAATACCTCATTTACTACTGCTGTGGAAAAAGGATTATGCTGTGACAGAACTCATTTTTATCCATCCGAGTAAAGAAGTAGTACTAGGCATGGGTTAACAACTTTCCATTTCATGGGATATGTTTATTTAGGCTATTTACATTGTAAAACAAGGCAAAAATTGTAAAGACCTACCGCAGAACTCTTCCTTTGAGCCCCAGATCAGAGCTTTTGTTAGAGTCTGTAACAGTAGGAATTACACAAAATAGAAGATTTCTAGTACTATTTTCTAGTAACTTTTCCTATTATGTGTAGGAATATATATGTAGATGTATGTATGGATTGAATCGGAATCACCAAGGTTGGAAAAGACCCATCCAGTCCAACCTATCACCAGTAGATCTCACTAAAACTTGTTCTTCAACACAGCATCCAAACATTCCTTGAACACCTCCAGAGTCGGTGACTCCACCACCTCTCTGGGCAGCCCATTCCAGTGCCTGACCACTCTTTCAGAGAAGCAGTATTTCCTAATGTCCAGCCTGAATCTCCCTTGGCACAGCTTGAAGCCATTCCCTCTAGTCCTATCGCAGTTACACGAGAGAAGAGGCCGACCCCCAGCTCACTACAGTGTCCCTTCAGGTAGTTATGGAGAGCAATAAGGTCTCCCCTGAGCCTCCTCTTCTCCAGGCTGAACATTCCCAGCTCCTTCAGCCGCTCTCACAAGGCCTGTGCTCCAGACCCCTCACCAGGTTTGTTGCCCTCCTTTGAACCCGCTCCAGGGCCTCAGTGTCTTTCTTGCAGAGAGGGGCCCAAAACCGGACACAGGTTGTGCAGTTTGGTGCAGCCTCACTAGTGCTGAGTACAGGGGGACAATCACTGCCCTGTTCCTGCTGGCAACACTGCTTCTGATGCAAGCCAGGATGCCATTGGCCTTCTTGGCCACCTGGGCACACTGCTGGCTCGTGTTCAGCCAAGCATCAATCAATACCCCCAGGTCCATTTCCTCTATGCAGTCCTCCAGCCATTCCACCCCAATCCTGTAGCATTGCCTGGAGTTGTTGTGGCCAAAGTGCAGGACCCGGCATTTGGCCTTGTTGAACCTCATCCCATTGGCTTCAGCCCAGCCTGTCCAGATCCCTCTGTAGGTCCTCGCTACCCCCAGGCAGATCCACACTTCCAGCCAACTTGGTGTTCTCCACAAACTTACTGAGGGTGCATGCGATGCCCTTATCCAGGTCATCAATAAAAATTTGTGAGTATATATGAGGGCTGCTCTGGACATACTGCCTCCAATTTATTATATTGGTCTACAACATCGGGATGGATGTTGGTGGTATGGAAGTAAGGGTTGAACC